TGGACACTTCCCAGAGATGGGATGAGAGAGCCTGGCTTCCTGAGCAAACAGCAATCTCCAGGCACGACCGGCACAACTCTACTCTTCCATTTCCCCACACAGGCCTGGGCCAGGCCCGAGTGCATCCTGTAGCTGGATTTCCCATACTGAGCTCTTGTGAGGGGAGCTACTGGTCTGCTTGGAGGCCCAGCAGCACAAGGAGGAGGGAAAACTACTAGTGGGAGGAGAAGGGAGTAAGCAAGAGGAAGAGGGGTCCTGCAAGCAGGCTGTAAATATGGGTTCCCTCTCAAGGTAGGTAAAGTTGTTCACTTGTCTTTTTCCTCTGGAATTACCTAAATACACTACCACAGAGAGGTAAAAGCACCTCCAAGAGAGTCATGGGGTGGCAAGGAGACCTCTCAGGCTCTCAGCCCCTAGCTGCTGCTCTTGAAGAGAAGAGAGAATCAGAAATTCCTCTCTCACCCTCTTCACCACTCATCAACTGCAACAAAGGCCTTGCTGCTGTTCCCTTTCAGGGGCAAATCCAGCTTGTGCCAGGGCCTGGGCCATGCCACGTTTGCCTGTGGAGGGTGGGGTTCCTGGATCCCAGGTGCAGTTGTTCTGGGTGTGCTATGGTGCTCAGCTTTATATCAGGAAATTCATGCCCCCCAACAGCTCCCCTCATCCCTGCTTCTTTTCCAGTTCTCCTGAAATATAGTGGAACCCCATCCCCCCTCGTCCTAGTAAGATGCACAGTAGCCCAAAGGTTCCTGATTCCTTCCCAAACTCCAGTGATTTTAGTAGAGGACCAGGCCCTGGATTGGTGGGGGGGCTCACAGAGAGCCTTGAACCTTAGCTCAACTGATCTCCCTTCGACTAATCTTATTTTCTGTGCTGCAGTTGTCTTCATGAATGTTTTGACTTCATTTAGAACAACTCCTCATATATATTAAATGCATAGAAGTGTTTTAAATGGAAATAAATATCCAGGTCCCAGCCACACTGTCAAGGGGCTGATGTTGATTTTTGAAAACACTTCAGATTCCCTTCTAATGTTTTTTAGGCCACCCCCCAAAACATTTTTTTTCCTGATTGCAGTTTCACCTTGGGTGTTGACTGTTCATTGAGAAAATGGCTTCCAAGGCAGTCAGGCAATGTTGTATAAAAGCCCATAAATAAAATTTCTACGAAATATCCAAAGGTAGTGGAGAGAGACCATGGTGGATTTGAGTGCACCTCAAACACTAAGCAGTCCACTCAGCTTGTTGCAGGTTAGGGCTTCTGCATTTTACTAAATTCTCGAACTTTAATGCATGCTGTTATGAGGAGGTGCCAAGGTTTGTGGCTCCTCAGATTTCAGAACAAAGCCAAGTTTTGGCCAGGCTTCCCTGGAACCCTATGAAAATACCTGAGGCAGCTCCACCAGGTCAGTGTCAAGCCCCTTTGGGGAATGTGATCCTTTAGGCCTTTGGAGCCTCTAGCTCAATCAGGTAAATTCAGAGGATTGTTTAGTACTCACTCCTCTGCCAACCCTTCGGGCACCTCTCTGGTGGAAACTAGCTTTGAGCTAGAAGGAAAAACAGCAAAACCGATAAATCTCTAATACTGAGCATCAACATTCTAACTCCCTTCCCTGAATTAAATTTGATTTACATATTTAAAATATTTAATCTTGTTTTTAAAAAGAATTGCACACATGCACACAACACTCAATGCACACACGTGCGCACGCGCACACCCACACAATGGGAAGGAAAGAAACAAGAGGCTACCCAGGCCTTACAGCTAGAAATGTTTCCCCATCTGGTTGGGCACAGGGAGGCAGTGGCACCCAGAGTCCAGGCTCCCAGTTCTGAGTCTGTTTCCAGAGGTTTGCCTTCTGAAAAAAAGCGGAAGCCACACTGAGACCGCCGGTCCAGAGGGTTGGAGAAAGGACGAAGAAACAGGCTTTCGCAGACTCAGGCCCTAAGACCACAAATGTAGACTATACACACACACACACACACATATATATATATA